CGGTTGTGATCGCATCAGACCTGCTCACGTATAGACGTGCGCTTACGGGGGGGGTTGGATGTGCTTGACACCTATAGGTGAGAGATAGATATAGATATAGATATATATATATATATATTTGGGGGTGGAGATCTCTCTGGGCTTGGATTTCCTACCTGTTAGGGAGGGAAAAGGAGAGAGCGTTTCCCTTGCACGGGAAAGAAAAGAATAAATACCGACTAAAGCCGGAGGGTGTTTCTTCGTCTGAACCCCGGCGATAAATCTCTGCCAGTTCATCGCCGTGTCGTCGAACCCGGAGTTTTCCATCTGTGTTTCGCCTGACATTTTTGAACGCGCGGGAGTTCGCTCGGTAGCTGTAAATGCCATCGGTTAGCAGGCGTGGGCTGCGCTGCTGCTCTTTTCCTCCCAAAAAAGCCGCGCTTTGCTGCGTACGCTTCTTTTCCTTTTTCTTTTTCGAACGCCAGACCCAACCAGAAGGAAGTTATCTCTTGCCGCCGTGCCTTTTCGTTCACAAACTCTTTGCTATTCCTGTAGCTCTCGTATCCTCTAACCACCGGCAAACGTCTGGCTTCTAATCAGGGACGTTCCCTGCCTCGTTGATGGGGCAAGACCAAAAAAATCCCCTGCCAAATTTTACTCTCTGAATACGCTCGATTTTAGGATTCCCGTCAGCCGACAATAGCCCTGAGATTGCTCCGGCGATAAAAAGAATATTAAGTAGGTTTTTTTCTGCGTGCGTGAAGTTAATAAGCGTACGATTAGCGAGCGTGGAAGATAATAAGAATGGTATTTAACCAACAAAGCCAGGAAATTCCAGATTAAAGCGTGGATGTTTAACTTGCAGCTCTTGGGGTTTGGGAGTTGCGTGCCGTTAGGGAGTTTTGCCCATCTTTAGGAATAATCCTGAAAAGAGGCTTTTTTTTTGGGTTGGTTGGGTTTTTTTTGTTTTTTTTTTTTTTTTAGGCACCAGGAAAACAAACAGGTTTGTCCATATTCCATGTAATACTGAAATTTCCTCTCCTACTCTCAACGCCTCCCTCAACCAGCCTTACAAATTTTTTGCCCCCCTCCTTCTTCTTCACACTCCAAGTTTTCAGCTCAGGATGAGCTTTTTCCTTTTTCCAGCACTTTCTGCTCCTGGACAGTAAAATTTTTACCATAAGCCTTTAACTGAAAGAAAAAAAAAAAAAATCCTCCGGAGTTTTGTTTTTTTTTTTTTTCCTCCCTGGTCCCAACTCCCGTGGACGTGGATGCACACTGCTCTCCGGTCCTGCCCCGAGGAATGCAGAAAATCAGGATTTGAATGCGTAGCAAGAGCACGCACCTTTCTGAATCGTAAAACCTGCGAAAATTTAAGATTTACGTAATACACCTTTGGACGGGCTGGTTTTGCTCCTTTCTGGGAAGGAGATCCAGACCGGGGCATTTATTTTCCTCTGCAAGAAGAGGAATTATTGGGTTGGGGGGGTTTTTTGCATGAAAAGGGCTTTTTGTGTTGTTTTGCATAGGCAACATCTATTAATTACAGCGGTTTGGTCTTAATTTCTTTCCCTTGCGCGCAGGCAGGGATGCCCCGGGGAGGGCAGGGATGCTGAGCTCTTTGCAGATATAGAAGAGAAACTTTTGGCTTTCACGCTGCTACTGAATAAACTCATTTATTTTCCTAGCTGCTCGCCCACGATTTTGGGAAAGAAAAGCTCTGCCGTCTTTGAAATGAGAATTGGGGTTCGGGGTTTTTTTCCCCCTGAATTTGCTGAGCCCTGGGTCTGCCCGTCATTAGCAGAGACCTCGTGCGATCCCGTTTGCGTGCTCGGGGGGAAAACCCTTTTTTTTTTTTTT